TTTTTTTGTTTGATTCAAGGAAGTTTTTGAATCAAAATCTATCCTTTTTTTGGTTGAAACTTAGTTTTTGAGTATTAATAAAATCCTAACACGTATCCATAAAACTGCCAAAGTCTTTAAAGTGAGCATTAGAGTTCTGATTAAAAAAGGTAATGTGACAATGTTTTCTGCTGCTGAACTCAGTCCAGCTACTTTTGCTTTGTGGAGTCAGCCCAGGAGTCAGGCTTGCAGCCTCTTGGTGCTTTCTCCTTAAGGTCCTTACTCCTTGACTCCAGCATCACTGGGGACAGAGAGTGTAGGAAGTGAGCTGGGCATGGACTGTGCTCTCCCCGTGGGCAGCCAGTCATGGGTCAGGTCTCTGTGGAGGCACCCCCAGATTATTAGTGGGGGGGGGGATATATTTCTAGGACATATCTAGAGTAACCTCTAAATTCCCACATCAGAACTCTAAATCCCTGATCCCCTAGCCCTGGGATGCGAACTACGGGACCCTCAGGCTAAAGCTACTTCCTTATAAGTAAAATCTTGTTTATGTTAGAGCTTCTTTCATGATATAATGGCAGTGTTGACTAGTTGCAACAGAGACTGTATGGTTTTTATTTGCTACCTTGGTTGGTTGGGTGCTTATGTGCTGTGGAGTTGGTTCCAATTCATAGCAACCCTGCATAGGGTTTCCGAGGAGCAGCTGGTGAACTTGAACCACTAACATTGCGGTTCAAACTGACCTTACAGTCCAGTACATTAACCCACAGTGTCACACCAGGACTCCATATGTCTTGGTGGTGGTGGTGTGCTATGGAGTCAGTTCTAACTCATAATAACTCTATATAGGGTTTCCAAGGCTGTAAATCTTTGTGGTAGCAGAAAGCCTCATCTTTCTCCCGCGGAACAGCTGGTTGTTTTGAACTGCTGACAGTGTGGTTACCAGCCTGACATATAACCACCTAGTCCTTCGTATATTTACTGTTTGACCTTTTACAGAAAAAGATTTCTCTAGATCTGTTCGAAAAGATCCTTGAACTAGCCTGATGTGCCAGGGGTGAGAGTTGACTTCCAAAGGCAGTTTTGACCTGGACAGGCTCTTGCTGCTGCGACAGGCTAAACTCACTCCTGATTCTCCCTGGTTTGTCCACAAGAGATTCTACTGGGCAAACAGCTCTTTCATTAAACTCTGTGTTGTCTGTCCCTCTTGTCATCCATACGAAAGGAGAAGAGGTACATTTGGGAAGAAATACTGTAAAATATTCAGGTTTAGAGTGATTATTTCTTAAAAGCTTTTCAAAACAGTTTCATGACCAAAACCTAAAAAATCACAAAAAACAACCAACATCAACTTTGGAACAACAGGGCTCTGTGATACAGGGATTGAGGCATAGTTTGAATGGGTAAAAGAGGGGAAATAATGTTAAGATGCTTGACTATCTTATGAATCTTGGTTTCCCTTGCTTACTATTGTAAAATAGACACTTGAGGAGAGAAAGTAATAGCCAGAAACATCACTATAGAAAGCATTGTAAGCCCATCTGCAGCCTATAACTGATTGTTGTTGTTAAGTACCTTGGAGTTGTTCCGACTCATAGTGACCCTCCCTGCACAGGGTTTACAAGGCCATAAATCTTTACGGGAGCAGAATGCCTCATCTTTCTCCTGTGGAGCTGCTGGTAGTTTCAAACTGCTGAATTTGAGGTTGGCAGACCGATTCGTAACCACTATGCTACCAGAGCTCCTTAGATTTAAGAGATTGTTGTTGTAATATGCCGTGGAGTCAGCTCTAACTCACAGCGACCCTGTAC